ATGTGGCCCCTCGCATGGCTTCCGTGGCATCTTTCCGGCCGTGTTGTCAGTGCGTCCTCGGAGGACCTCTCGCGGGATCACGCCTGCCCCACGGCGGAGCCGGGTGTCACGGGCCTGCGTCCCTCCGTCCTTCGCTGCCCTGGACCACGGCTGCCTCTTCCTCTTCTTGGTATTTAGGCCTCTACGTGTTATAAAGTTTTTATTTGTTTTTTTTTTTTTTCTCGAAACCCTTCTTTGTTCCAGGCTGCTGAGCTCTGCCAGGTCAGGAAAGCGTGTCTTTAAATAAAAAGCTCTTCCCTAGAAGCGGGTGCAGAGGTTTGGAAAGTCGCTGAGCTGCTCTCTGTGCCCCGAGAACGACAGGCGTTCATTCCAGAAGTTGCTGCCGCGCTCATGCTCCAGGACCAACAAACCGTGTTCTGTCCGCCTCGGTCAGGTGCTCGCTTTCAGGTGCTCCAGTCTGTCCACCGGAAACTTGTCTGCCAGGGTCGGTCGGGCGAGCATTTCCCCGTGGGCAGCGTCGGTTTTGCCAGTTTTGTTTCCGTTCAGCAAATTTATTCCAGCGTCCTGACGGCCTCACGTGTGGGAGTCTCTGACTCTTCCTTGGGAGAGGCAGTAACTTCTCAGCGCGCGTCTCCTTCATCCGCGAGTTAGATAGTATCTTGAGTATGTGTTCATTGTAGATCTCTGTGAGAGTCATGATTTCACCTTTGTGGAAAATTGCCTTTTAACGAGTGGGAAGATAATTTAAGGGGAAGACTATATTTTCTCTATTAGAAAAGGATTTTTTTTCATGTGTGTCGAGGGTCTAGGATAACTTGAATTAAACTATTTTACTTATGAATTTATAAAATAGAGTAGCAAACGGGAAAATCTAGCGTCTCTGTTCTCCACGAGAATGGAGTGTGGAGAATGGAATGTGCATTGTGAGTTTGACATTTCTACCTTTTTTTTCTCTGAGTAAAACTGCTCACCTATAAGGAAAATAACATCACCTTTCACTGGTTTATAGAAGAGTTCAAGGTCGAAAACACGATTTGTTATTGTTAGCAGCCGCAGAACCAGGCTGTAAAATAGATTAGGATTTTACAGCCCTTCCAACCCCACACCACTGTCTACACAGAAACAAAAGTATTACCGTCGCTGGGGTGGCCCCTCAGGGCACACCTCTAATTGTAATTTCCTGATTATCTGCGAATTCTGCAGCTAAAGGTTTAGACTGAGATTTCTGCTTTGTAGCTTGTGTTAGGAAAACAGTACATTTTCCTCCCAGTTGAGGACGGCCCGATGGTGGAAACAGCATTTACTGTTTTGATTGTACGTATTTTCAGACATACGTTAGAGATCAAACTTTAGTTTATAATCCAGGACGATTTTCTGGCTGTAGGGAAAAAATCAGACATGTGGCATTGGAAATGAGAACCAATGAGGATGATGAATTTAGGGGCACTGGCCAGTCGTTCCACGCTTACAGAGGACATGTTTGCGAAACTCGGGCCAGCCACACGGACTCCTGGGTCTGCCGGCCGCTCGATTCAGGGGCGGGAGGGAAAGGCTGAGATCCATGTGGGAGGGACCAGCGGATCATCAGTGAGGCCGTGTTTTCAGTTCTGATTCTTTCTTTTTTTTTTTTTTTTATTTTTTTTATTTTTTATTTATTTCTAGGAGAGAGAGAGAGAGAGACAGTGTGAGCAGGGGAGGGTCAGAGAGAGAGANTAGGAGAGAGAGAGAGAGAGACAGTGTGAGCAGGGGAGGGTCAGAGAGAGAGAGAGTCACAGACTGAAACAGGCTCCAGGCTCCGAGCTGGCAGTCAGCACAGAGCCCGACGTGGGGCCCGAACCCAAGAACCGCGAGATCGTGACCTAAGCGAAAGTCGGACGCTCAACCGACTAAGCCACCCAGGCGCCCCAAGTTCTGATTCTTTCTTATATCACAGCAGAGATGACAGTAAAATTAAGTTTGCAGAACATTTTTGAAAAATTCAAACCAGGTGTCTAGGGAGAAATAACTTATAACACAAATATTCCATGAGCAAGAGGCGTCTGGGAAGAAACATAACACAGAAAGGTCTGGAAGCAAAGGCTGACGGCTCTGATGTGGGTGGAGGATGGAATCTGACGCCGGGGGCGGGGGGCTGTGTCCGGACCCTCCTTGGATAATGGATAATCGCTGCCCTTGCTTTGGCCCAGACCACCCAGGAGACGTTGTGCTTCAGAGTGGGAACGGAGCGCCCCCCTCAGGATGCAGACGTGGGTGTTCACAGACACCAAGGCCCCGGGAAGCAGGAGGAAGTCCCGCGAGGGGCAGGGGCCTGGCTCTGTCGTGTATCTGGGTGCGTGCGATCGCCCGTCCGGGACTCCCGGCTGGTGACAGATAGTGGAGAGTCGAGGTGCAGGCGAGGGTGATTGCCAGCGAGAGAGCACCGCTCGGTGCCCCGTGGTCCCCTCCGCTGGCCGACGGAGGGGCTCCGCGTTGCTGTGCAGAACTGGGCGCATCGACACGGGGCCTAAGCACTGAAAGCCCTGCCTGGCGGGCGGGCACCTTCCCCTCCTACAAGCCTGTCTTTCCTCGAGCTGGAAAACTGATGCGGGTTGAACCCTTTTAAAACCTTTTATTTCGGGACGAGGACAGATGCACAGGAAGTCGCAAAGGGAGAGAAAGGGGTCAGCGGAGCCTGCACGCGGCCTCCCGGGGCTCCGGGCGGTGGAAACGGCGGCGCAGCTGTAGAACTGGGGCGGACGTCGGCACGTGGTGTGGCGGAGGCGGCGGGTTGAAGTCAGGTGTGGGCTCCCGGGTGCCCCCCTGGCTCACCCCCGAACCGGCTCCGGCTGCCCCCTCCCAGCCCGAGCTCCTGGCAGCGGGGCTCCATCCTCCAGCTTTATAATCCCGCCCTCCTGAGACGGGAGTGACGGGAACCGCACCGCGCGTCACCTTTCGAGCTTGGCGGCTTCTCTGTCTCAGCAGAATGGGGGGCCCGTCCTGGCCGTTGCTGCTTCAGGCTCGCGCCTTCTCGAGGCCAGGGGGTAGCGCGCGGCGCGGCGGGCCCCGGCGTGCGGCCCTCACCGGGTACAGAAAGTTCTGGTTGTTCCCAGGTGCTGGCTCTCGCAAGAAGGCCCCTGTAAACAGTCGTGCTCGGGCTTTTCTGAGGAAGCGGCTTGTGTTTCTCTGGGAAAAATGCCAGGAGCACAATTGTAAGTCGCAATATTTTTCAGAACTTCCGAACGACTTCCCCAGGCGGCCGTCCCGTTTCACGCTCCCAGGCGCTAGGTGTGAGCGGCTGCGTCAGCACCATCAGCCTCTGCCGCCATCCCTGCCTTTTATCTCAGCTGCCCTCACCGTGGTCTTCATCCCCCGGCGGTAGCGACGCCGACGTCTTCCCTGGTGCCCATTGGCTGCCTGTACAACCTCGCCAGTGCAGTGTCTCCTCGTGCCCGTGTTCGCTTTCCGCCTGGATTCTGCGGAGTTTGTGCAGACTTGTGAGAATTCTTTCATATTCTAGACCGCACTCCCACATCACACATGCAGGTTGTGAATGTTTCCTGCTAGTCTGCACCTCGTGTTGGTGCCCTTCAAGGCCTGTTTCACAGAGATGCCGCGGTTACTTTTTAGGAAGTCTAAATCATTGATTTTTTTATGTTAAAAATTTTTTAAGTTTATCATTTTTGAGAGACAGAGAAAGAGCATGAACAGGGGAGGGGCAGAGAGACAAGGAGACACAAAATCTGAAACAGGCTCCAGGCCCTGAGCTGTAGCATAGAGCCCAATGCAGGGCTTGAACCCATGAAACTGGAGATCATGACCCGAGCTGATGTTGGACGCTCGACCGACTGAGCCACCCAGGTGCCCCCTAATTATTGATTTTTTAATTTTATGGATTGTATTCTTGGTGTCATAGCCAAGTGCTCTTCCCATGAGCTCTGGGTCTAGAAGATTCTCTTCTGTGCAGCAGCTTAGTTTTATGTTTAACACTTGCAGGATCCATTTTCCATTGATTTCTGTATGAGGCGTGTGATTTAGGCTGAGACATGTGCGTATGTGTGTCCCTTTATGTGCTGGTGTGTGGATGCCCACTTGCCATGGCACTGTCTGTGGGAACAGCCGCTCCCCCTTCCCTGACCTGCCCCTTTGTCAGACGACAGTTCACGGTGCTGAGTGGGGTCTCCTCTGGGTTCTCTGCTCTGATCCCCTGATATGCCTGCAACCTGTCAGGACACATGAAAATTTTTTTCTTTAGTGTTATATTCATTTTTGAGAGAGAGCACACGATCGGGGGTGGAGGGGGGGAGAGAGAGAGGGAGACACAGAATCCACAAGCAGCTCCAGGCTCTGAGCTGTTGGCACAGAGCCCGAGCGGGGCTCGAACCCACAAACCCGTGAGATGGTGACCTGAGCCGAAGTTGGACGCTCTATCACTGAGCCCCCCGGGTGCCCCAGGACACATTTTTATGACTCATTTTCTTTCTATGCTTTGCCCGTGTGTTCGGGCCGCCGTGTTGTCTCATGCTTCGAGTGCATGCAGAGCATGTTTTCGGAAGCACAGCGACCCGAGTAAACAGCACCTGATGTTTAAGGAGCGTATTTTCTAACGGGAGGAAATGATGCGAGAAAATTGAGGAAAATTGAGGATCCCACACAGAAAAGAGATTTTTGCAACTTGTATAAATTTGTCTTAATTCAGATGAATCCCAATGTGTTTTCCACACTCCTCTCTTGGGCCAGAAGGGGAAGGGCCGTGAGGGCTGGAGCCAGGGGCTCTGGGGGCCACCCCTCCTGGAGGTTCTGGGACCCCCGACATCTCTGTGTCTGTGGTTCGCAGGAGGGTGGGGCCAAGGGTGAAGTTAGAGGCTGGAGTCTGGGCCAGGAAGATGCCTCGATTCTGTTGGAAGCGACTGGAGTCGAGTGTGCGTGTCAGCCCCAGACTCGTGAGACTGTGGTAAACACGCACCGTGTCTGGCACCCGCGGCCCGAGCTTGTGGCTCAGCAGAGACCTCCCTCTTACGAAGACAAGAATCTCTCATTCGTGTGAAGGGGGATGGAGACTGTCAGAAATGCCTCCAAGCCCAGTGCCAACTGAAGTGAGCTCACCGCCCTCCCTCATCGCCCTCCCTCCTCACCCCTGCCTCCTCTCGGCTCCTCTGGTTTGCTCCACGCAGGGTCCCGTCTGGCTGAGTTGGTGTCTTTTCCACTGAGAACCTCAGGACTAGGTGGCTCCTGGGCACGGGGTGACTTGGAAACACTCTGAGCTTGCTTTGAGGGACTGCTCTAACTCCAGACGCCGTGTGACTTCCCGGCTTGTCGCTTTGTTTTGGCCCCAAGCCTCCAGGCAGTTCCCTCCGTGTGTCTTTCCCTCCGCTGCCGAGCAGGGTGTCCTGCGGACCGTGAGCTGGAACCTGACGGTCCCGGTCCTCAGGCTGTTCCTCTGGAGTCGGGGGTCGGGGGTTAGCAGGACAGGGTGTGGGAAGCCACGGAGGATCGAAGCTGAGAATTCGGCTCCCCCTGGATGGTCCCAGAATCCCACGCGAGCAGTGGAAAGACCGAGAAAGTCATTTTCTGGAGTTCGAGCCCCACGTGCCTGCCGTCCCTTGTCCCCAGGGCTCAGTGGGGTCTTTGACCCTGTTCCCCACTGGCCGTGGTGCGTGCCGGCCTCCTGGCCACGCTCAGCTGCAGGTGAACAGAAGAGGCAGGGGGGAGGCTGGGCCGTCACCTGAAGATAAAACCGAGCTCATTCCAGCATCTGCATCGCGGTCGGGACGGGTCCCTCAACAGGGCAGACCCGACTGCAGCCACCTCCGGCTCCAAGGGGCTCAGGGGGGCCAGGGTACGGGGGAGAGGGTGGGGGGCCTGTGTCAGGGCCGTGGGGTGACCTCACATGACCTGATTGTCACCTTGAACCAGAGTACTTGTGGCCCAGACACGCCCAGGGTACAGGGCATGTCGCGTGAGTGTGAGGGCAGCAGCCACGTCTCGCAGGAGCCGGGATGGACGGCCTTCCTGCTGACGGCGAGCCCCAGGCCTCCCCACCCCCACCTTTTGTCTTCCACCTGTTTCTGGAGGTGTTTCCTCAGTCGCCTCCTCTGTGGAGCCCCTGCTGCGGTGCCAGGGTCCATATGAGTGCCCGCCAGGAGGGGCTGCATCCCCCCTGCCCAGGGTCTGTGTGAGCGCCCGCCAAGAGGGGCTGCATCCCCCCCACCTGCCCGGGGTCCATGTGAGCGCCCACCGGGAGGGGCTGCATCCCCCCCACCTGCCCGGGGTCCATGTGAGCGCCCACCGGGAGGGGCTGCGTCCCCCCTGCCCAGGGTCCGTGTGAGCGCCTGCGAGGAGGGGCTTCATCCCCCCCACCTGCCCAGGGTCCATGTGAGCTCCCACCGGGAGGAGCTGCGTCCCCCCTGCCCGGGGTGTGTGTGAGCGCCTGCGAGGAGGGGCTGTGTCCCCCCCCACCTGCCCGGGGTCCGTGTGAGCGCCCGCGAGGAGGGGCTGTGTCCCCCCTGTTCCGCTGCCTCCAATTCTGGAAGACAGGAACATCTGCAAACACCAGGATTTTGAGGCTGATTAAGGGGTTTCCTCGTCACCTCTCGCCTCCAACATTACTTCGTTTTTCTTGCTTTCGTCAAAGGTGCGACATCTCAGCCCTTTGGAGCCCTGGCCCCTGGCTTGTCGTGACACGAGCTGGTTGGGGACGAGGGTGGCCGGCTGGGAGGGCTGCTGCACGCCGTCCGCCGAGGTCCCGTACACCTGCTCCCTGAGCTGGGAGTGCGGCATTTGGCTCCTTCCGTTGCTTTCCTGAGGGCCAGTGTTAAGGACCACGGTGACTTCTGTGTATTTGCTGGGAGTAGTGACAGGTGGGTGTCTCTCCTCCTTCTTTGTAGGAAAACCCTATACTTGGATGCAAAGCCAACAGATTTCCAAGCAAGGAACATTCATAGGTTGTTATCTCATAGATTTGCATCCTCTCCTGATACGTGTCTCCCAGAAGCAGACACCCTTCTGCACCGTGATTGTAAACAGTAGACAGTAAATACCCGATTAACCTCATTTTCGTCGCCCCAGATGGTTGGGTTTCTGAGGAAATCTCAGGCCCCACAGGAGACGCTCCGAGGGCCCGCGCGACGCCTACGTGAGCTTGGGGACGTCCGGTGGCGGGAGGCAGGGCCAGCCTCCTGCTGGAAGGCCCCCTCCCCGCAGACGGCAGGGCCTCGGCCTCAGGGCCCAGGAGGCGTGCGGCTGAGGGTGCAGCCCCCCCATGGGCGCACCCCGTCTCCCGGTCCTGCACTTGCAGGCTGCTGGGCGTCGATGCCTCCCATGTTTCTCTGGGAAAATCAGGCCGTGACTCGATGACTCACCTTCCTCTTTCTGGCAGTGCTGCTCCCCACATGTTCACAAACTGTGCTCCTGGGAACATTCTAGACCTCCTTTCCTGGAGACGTGCTGAGGGCCTCTGTTCTGGGGCTTGTGGACTGCGGACGCGAGGAGGCGGGCCGCTGTTCCTGGCGCGGGGTGGCACGGGGAGGAGCCCCGAGTGCGAGGGCAGGAGTTTCCTGACTCGGGGTGTGACCTGGGCCCCGGGCCCCGGGAGCACCGTCTGCTCCTCCGCCCTTCTCACCGCATGCGCGCTGGACTTGCCGTGGTTGGGACTGAGATTTAAATCGCCTCGAATTCAGATCTGGAGTCAGAGCGTTGGGACTGGGAGAGGCCACTTTGAGCAGAAGTGAAAGTGAGCCCCACGCTGTGGGCGGTGGGGGAGGGCATCGTGGGTCCCCGGGCCTCAGCACACCGGCCGGACTGCGGGCTCCCTGCAGTCCTGGCTGGCAGCCACCTGTCTTTACGTGCCCGAGAACACACAGGCGCACCTGCCCGTGAACGGTGACACCTGATGCTGTCCTGGAAGGCGGGTTCAGGGCTGCCCAGGGCCAAGGGCACTGCAGCAGTCCTCGGTGGGCGCCACCTGGTCCTGACTGGACTTTGGACTTTGTGGGTTTGTGTGTCATGGTCCCCTGGTCACGACCTTCTGAGCTCCCCAGCGGCTGCAGGATGAGGCTTCCCGTGCCTGAGCACGATGTTCACAGTGGCTGGGACATTGACGGGAGGAGGGGGGACAAGTGACTCCCCAATTCATGGATGTCACCCTAAGGTCTTGTGAGAACCCCACCCCTGCTGGCTGCAGGTGGCTAGGATGGGCCACGCCAGGCTCCTGGGTGACGCCCTTGAAAATCACGCTCTGCAGGGAGTGTGGGAAGGAGCATCAGCAAGTGGGCCAGGTGGCACTGGGAACAAGATCGGGCATCTTGGATGCAGTACGGAGACTGCGTAACTGGAGGCTCGGCCTTTCTAGGGTTTTCCCTGGACTCCCCTGACCCTGGGTTTGTGTTGCTTGGCCCCTCTGGCTTCTCTTAGGGTGTGAGGTTAGCTCAACTCATTTCCCTGAGGACCAGCCCCTCTGCCCCGACCCGGCGGGTGCTCGGAGAGAGGATGGCCTGTTGGTGTCTGAAGCAGCCAGCGCAGTGGACCACACTGTGGCCGGACGTCCCCTCGGGCGCTCCTGGCGGAAAGGCGGCGTTTGCACCGTGACACACAGCGCGTGCTTGGGAGTGCTCTGCCTGCACGGCTGTGCTGACCCCGGGGACAGCACACATCCCTGCCCTGGGACTTCGCTCTAGTGGAGGAGCACAGGTGACTTGCAGATGCACAGGTTGTAGCTGAGGACGTTTCCGGTGGTATTGAGTGCTGTGTAGAAGGTGCCCCCGGGAAGGGACGGGGGGGGGGCGTGGGGGGGGCGTCTCCAGGCGGTGAAGGTGTGAGCGGTTGGAGGAACCAGCCACGGTCCTGGGCAGGGGGTTCTATAGAATTTCCAGACACAGACAACCTTAGGGAACCCAATAACATATTAAAATAATGCTAATACTCGAGGGAAAACAAAAGGAGTGAAGATTCCATTTTGCCAAGATGTCAGTAATAAACAGCATTAATCTAACAATGTTGTGCGCTCGGGGACCCTCAGCCGTGGTTCTGGCAGGAAGCAGATGACGGATGAGCCCTCTGGGTTTTACGGTGGGTCCAGAGGGTGTCTGTCAGGGCTGTGGCAGGCAGGTTCCAGTGCCAAGAAAGAGGAACTGTGTCCCGTCTGGAGCTGGGATGGCCAGGGAGCCACCCCGCCGCTCAGCTCCCCTGCAGCAGGCTGGTTCCACGCAGGCTCCCATGCTGGCTCCCACATTGGCTCCACGCTGGGTCCCACGCTGGTTCCCACACTGGCTCCACGCTGGGTCCCACGCTGGGTCCCACGCTGGCTCCACACTGGCTCCATGCTGGCTCCACGCTGGCTCCCACGCTGGCTCCCACACTGGCTCCATGCTGGTTCCCAAACTGGCTCCATGCTGGCTCCACGCTGGGTCCCACACTGGCTCCACGCTGGCTCCACGCTGGGTCCCACTCTGGCTCCCACACTGGCTCCATGCTGGTTCCCACACTGGCTCCACGCTGGCTCCACGCTGGCTCCATGCTGGTTCCCAAACTGGCTCCATGCTGGCTCCATGCTGGCTCCCACGCTGTCCCTAGACCGGGCGGGGTCTCTGAGCAGCACTGATGGATGAGACAATGGGGTGAGTGGCGGACGGCCAAGTAAGAGTCCCCACTGACTGGGACCTTGTGAGACACCGCGTGTCCGGTGTGGCCCCGGCTCCTTGTGGTGCTCCTGCTTCCTGAGCTTGCCAGTGGCTGTTCCAGGCAGGCCCCCTGCGATCCGTTTTGGGCAGAGCCGCTGCAGCTGGTGTCCCGGCTGGCGTCTGGGAAGGGCCTAGGCACTGGAGTTTTCTCTCTGGGGAGAACGAGAGTCCCAGGTTGATCTGGTCTCTTCAACCCTCCGTCCTCACTCAGCCAGGCTGTGGCAAGGGCCGGCTGGCCGCCGGTGTGCCGGACAGACTTCCCGGTGGGGAAGACAGCACACAAACAAATGAGTGAACATGTAACCTGAGGTGTGGTGATCGATGCTGTGACAAAAATAGTAAGAGGAAGGGGTGGGGAGTGCAGGGGTTGGTAGTGCTTTGGGCAGGAAGGTCCCTCGGGGGTGACCAGGCAGCACAGGTGTACAATAAATGAGGGAGGCCATGTGTTGTCTTGGGCGATGAGCACTCTCAAGGGAGGATGCAGCAAGCGCAAAGGCCCTGAGGCAGAGCCCTGGGTTTTGGGCTGGTGTGGGCTAAGGAGAGAGGGTGTGAGGTGACCAGATGGGTCTGTGACCACGACAGGGTGGAGATGGAAGGTCAGCAGCCTCCTGTGGCACCAACCCCAGGTCCTGTGGGCTGGGGTGCGGTGCTCAGCTCGGTGCCGGGAGCCTGGCTTCTCCGGCGGCCTCACGGAGCATACGCATCTTTTCATTTCAGTCCCCCCGGCTTCGCAGCGAGGCCACCAACAGCAGCAACCAGGTCTTCCTGTACTGCGCCTTCCTGGACTTCAGGTACTGCCTGCTTGGGGCCAGGGGCAGGACTGGAAGTGGCGGGGAAGTGGGGGGGGGAGTGGGGGGGG